ACATATTCAAAATATTTTAAACGGAAAATTTTCAATTTTATGTTGCTTTAAACTTAGGTGTTTTTTAATTTAATTAATCACTAATTGAAGTATAGAAAATATATGTTAAGTATTAAAATACTATTGGTAGTTTCATCACTGTCCTATGGCCCAATATTGTTTTTCTCTAAAACGAAAACAAATTAAGCCAATAAAAGTAACTAATAAAATGCGCACATCATGTTTTTTGCTTGTAAGGAATGATTTGATAGAAATCCCCTTTATTTTTTTCAAAACTTACGTGAAAATTAAACTTCCATTAGAAGTAATTAATAAAGAACAGCGCGCTTCATCCGTAAGTTTTACAAGTTTAAGGATTGCTGATAATTTTACAGGTTTCTAAGAATTTCATATTCGTAACATATAAAAGTATCCGAACTTTTGCACCAACATTTGTTCAGTTTTTTCTAGAAGCTAGAGTCGTTACACTAAATACCACAAACCTTACGTACCCATTAAATTTGTTTTAATATTTCAACTAAGATGTACATGTACCGAGAAAAAGTGAAAAATAGAAAAACTATTACATACTTTGGATCTTATGAATATACATATGTATTTATATAAACCAGAAACAATATAATATATATATATATAGATAAATATCTGAATATACAATATACCCGTCTAAAGTGTAATAAACAAGCCTTTACCTGCTTAGTCTCAGCATTTTGAGTCTCTGAAAAAAGTGTTTTTCTTAACTCGCTAGTCCAAACTGAAACATTTTCTAAATAGTAATGGTTAAAAAAACAACAACTTTAATTACTATATTTTCATCTAAGTACATTTTCGTCAGTTTATTTTTCTAGAAAAAGACATGACATTTGACATGAACATTTTGCAGCCACTAAGGTACATGTTGATGAGACCGGCAGAACAATTGGATTGAAACACTCCATCCTATGTTTCTGAGTAATGACAGAAATCGAAAGGTTTTCGTGGACGAAAATAACAAAACAAAAAATGTGATTATAAGGTATAATAGGTAGTAATATTAGGAGAATATTGTTCTTATAGCGTGTGTGTTGAACTACTATTATATATAATCGCAAAGAAATATACATTAAGATGGGAATGGCTTTCATCATGCTTGTAGATTTGGTACTATTAGTATCGGGCGTGGCACTTTGGGGCTGTGGGTGCGTTAAAAAGTGCTCGCTATTCAATCAGACAACTGACTGATTTGGTGGAACACGAAGTATAATAGTAAGGAGTAGAGCCATGGCAACAACTGTAAACATTGTTACGAGTTTGAGAGTTTTGGAAATATCCATGTTCCACCATCAGCAAATATATGAGAAAATCAGTAAAAAAATCTTCAATATAGTGAACTAACATTAAAATATACTAAAATTATGTTAGGAAATTCCCGTCTTCCTTCTTGTCTATCAACTCTTAATACGAAAAGCTATGCGCAGGTAACCCTAATGTAGCAGTGCATGCGCGAAATTGTGAACAAAATGTTAATTATTTTTTCTAAATACAGTATCTTAAAAATTAGCTTTTATATACTGATGTAGTTCAATACATTTCGACAAATATTACGGAGTACTGGTGCTGTTTGTAAATATATAATTCACTGATTTGGTTAATACTGTGAAGTAATGTCAAATATCTACTAGCTCTGTTGGGATATATTAATAATTTGTATCCAGTATTAATTACTAAGTATTTTTAAACTGAGGAGTTGAATATGAGGATTTCAATTTAGTATTATAGCCTTGGGTGTCTCAGAAAAAATCTGTCTTTGCACTAAATTCAGTGTAAGAACATCAACTGTAGAATGAATAAACTTTTCATTTCTATTCGAAACTGTCCACATTTTGGATAAAATGTATTTACGCAAAACAAAGCAAGTCGAACGCATCAAATAAACGTTTTATTACAATACGAAAAAAATAGCTTAATATACTGGTCGTATCATACAATTTTCAAATAGAATCGTTCATACAAATTTACGTGTTTTATAAACAATCTTCAACACGTAGCAACGTAGACGGGCGTATTTAAACTTACAATACGCGACTTAAGTGTGAGTAAAGTTATTCTGTTAGATCTGGAAATGAGAGTTAACAGTCGTAGTCTTCTCTCTGTGTTCCCCCCGGTGGGTCAACGATAAGTTTACAGACATACAACGTTAGAATCCGGGGTTCAATTCCTCTAGCTAATAGTTCATTACTTAACTTTGTGATGAACAACTTTCTGTGTTATCTTTTTTATCGATGAAATGTCACAATGTGCTTTATTTTTTGAGCTTTAAATAATTTAGATTAATCACAGTTTAATGTTATATGTATAATATAGATGTCAATGATTTCCAATACAAAATTAATTTTATTTTCATTCCTCTAACCTCAAATGATTTTTAGTTTTTTAACCTACTTTTTCGTGTTTGCATGCGTCAACAACTTTTATTCAAATGTATTTGATGGTTTTAGAACAGAAACGATAAAAAATGTAAGAGGTAAGTTAATGTCTCAAATTTTTTAAATAAAAAAAAGAAAGAAACTGAATTTGGAAGTTTCGAAAACATAGCTAATTTATTTGGTAAAGATTAAATAATGAGGAATATGCAATTATTATTCAAGTATTTATAAGAAAGTTTGTGTGTATTGTATAATCTGATTGTCATATGTTTAATGGCTATTATAATATGCACCAGAAGCTAGGGGCCGAGCGTGGTCCACTGGTTAGCGTGCTGGACTGTGGAGCCAAGGATCCATGATTCACGTTCGGTCACCATAACAGAAAAACAAAAAATCATATCTGCACTATAAAGTCATGGATGACACATACGATTGACAATTAAGGCCAACTATTTGACTAGAGTAAATCAAGAGTTGGCCATGGGTTGTGTTGACTAGCTGGTTTCTCTCTCTGGTCTATGACAAGAAACAAACCAAAAGCAAAACATGTATGCCAAAACAATACTCTCACAGAATCATTCACATTTTGGTTACGAATGTTTATAGATATTTTCCACAAGCGACCAGTTCTATATACGTTATGTGATTAACTTTGAAATTCATCACGCAGTACCACTACTCTTTTATTCCTGGATTGAACGATCACAATTAACAATACTACTCCTTTATTTCTAGATTTAAGGGTCACAATTAACAACCCCACTAATTTAGTTCTAGATTTAAGGGTCACAGTTAACACTACTCTTTTATTGCCAGATTTAAGGGCCACAATTAACAACATTACTCCTTTATTCCTAGGTTTAAGGATCACAGTTAACAACACTACTCCTTTGTTCCTAGATTTTAGGGTCACAATTCACAACCCCACTAATTTATTTCTAGATTTAAGGGCCCCAGTTAACAACACTACTCCTTTATTGCTAGATTTAAGGGTCACACTTAAAAACACCACTAATTTATTCATAGAGTTAAGGGCCACATTTAACAACACTTTCTTTATTTCTAGATTTAAGGGCCACAATTAATAACATTACTCCTTTATTCCTAGGTTTAAGGATCACAGTTAACAACACTATTCATTTGTTCCTAGATTTTAGGACTACAATTAGCAACAGTGTTCCTTTAATTCAATTTAATTTAAGGAGCAACATTACTCATTTTAGTTGGGGAGCACCAACACTGCTTTGTTCTTAGCTTTAGAAGCATTTGAGACACAAATGAAATAACTTTAATGTAGAGGTAAAATACAAAGTATTTCAACTATGATCTTGATAGCTGTGCTTCCTAAAAAATATAAACAAACAGACAAAATTAAAAACATTTTCACCAAACTTATGTTTGTGGAATATAGAAACAGCTGATTCATTCCTTTAAAAGGCATTAATAGTAACGTCCACTTATATATGTGGATTTGTTGACCACGGACTGAGCTGTCATGGATTAATCATTTTTAAAAACGCAGTTATTCTTATATTTCGCTTTGGCGCCGCCCCCTGCCGAGTGGTATGTTGATTTTGTCTTGGTATCTATAGATAAGGAAAAGCGTGTTTCACGCCAAAATTAATGACAATGATAAGTAATTCCATCCTTAGTTAAAACATGATTTTAAACTAATTTTATACTGTTATATCACCTAATATTCAGAGTAGAAATTATTTAATCGGTTTAACCTACCAGAAATGCTCATTTTGTTAATAGTGTATTTTAGTTAATGATTTACATTGTGACATCACGTCATGGCTTTTCAACGGTCTAACGTGTGTGGACGAAATTCGGCGCGAATAGATATGTGTACAAGATTGAAATATTGCTTAAAAATCAGAAGTGCTATCACTTCTCGCTGATTTGCATAATGGTGATACTAATACAGTGAATGTATAGATCATACAATCGGACTGCAAACGTGATAAACATTTTAGTTACTTTTATAAGTCTAGAAAACTTGACTGATTCTTGTCGTTGTATGTTGTTCTTGATTGACAGAATTGTTTTAAGTCTTTGAAGTTCACATATTTACGTAAAAGCGCATTTCGCTTTGTCTTCTTCAGTCATCATTTTGAATTTCGGTAGTTGTGGATTTAACTTTTCGATTATGATCAAGTCCGTTGATATTTATTTCATTTGGATTCTTTTCACTGTTTCTTATAAAAAGTAAAACAATATACTTGAAGTAACCGAGATTAATGAGTCAATGTTTCTATAGAATCTTGTATTGATTATCTGGTCAGTGACTACGCGAAAGATCTGGGCTGAATGTACTTAATTAAAATATTGTACTTGCTGGAATGTAACGAATTGTAATGCACTGTCCTAATAAGAAAGGTTGAACGTTAAATTCTCTGTTAAACACATTTGTTATCCCAAGTACATAAGCTTTATACTTCTAAAAGTAGACACCACATTCACATAGATGTGTACACAAAATAAATTAGTGGAAAATTAATTTCTTTTGAGTCATCGTTTGAACTTTGAAACCTCCCAGTATGTTTTAAGTGTAGTACTTGGTCTTTATATTGAGAATACTTTAATTATTAGGGCCACCTACGCCTAGCCCACGGAAACAACGCCGAGAACGAACCACTTTTACTAGGGCACAGCTTGATGTATTAGAGGCCCTCTTCAGCAAAACTCGCTATCCTGATATTTTCATGAGGGAAGAGGTGGCTTTGAAAATTAACCTACCGGAGTCTCGGGTACAGGTAAGTTTGGGTTTGTTTGTTTGTTTTGAATTTCGCCCAAAGCTACACGAGGGCTATCTACGCTAGCCGTCCCTAATTTAGCACTGAAGGAGTAGAGGGAAGGCCATCACCGCCAACTCTTGGGCTACCCTTTTACCAACGAATAGTGGGATTGACCGTCAATATTATAACGCCCCTACGGCTGAAATAGCAAGAATGTTTGGTGGGACAGGGATTCGAACCTGCGAATCAAGCGCTCTAACCATCTGGCCATAGTAAAAACGTTGAATTAATATAGGATAGAATACTCTTATAAATAGATTGAATAAACACTACACATTTCCAATACATTTTGTAGCCCAGCAATATTGTCACTACGCAAAGTTCCAATATGAAATGTCTCGGAAGCCACGTGACGTACTTGGTTTGAAACCACGTCTATATGTTATAAATTCACACAGCTTTCTTATATCAAAGATTTAACCTATGTTGTAACTAAATGTTTCTTGCCAAACAGGAGACCTTTTTTGTTCTCAAATATTTTTCCAATTTCATATCTCTCAATTGGATGTACAACTCCAACAATAATAGTGATTACAATGCATATTAAGTAGTTGATATTGAAGTATGTTCTGAAATAAAAACTTAGGTTGTGTTCTGTGTGTTGGCTTTTTATGCATTTGTTTTGTAAAATCATTTTCTGTATAATTCAGGTCTGGTTTAAAAATCGCCGGGCCAAATGTCGCCAACAGCAACAGCAGCATAATGGAGGCTCAGGCTCAAAAAGTGTTCGACCCAAAAAACGCAAAAGTCCGCAACCAGCCAATTCACCATCAACCACTCGTGACTCCGTATATAAACATCGAAGCCTCTCTCAACCATCTCCGAGTACAACCCCAACAGTGACAACAAACAACACTAGCGCCATCTGGAGCCCTGCCATAACCCCCGTGTCGGACTTTATGAACAGTAGTAGCTGCATGCAAAGGCCATCTTACCAGATGACAAACCTGAATAATACACCTCCTGCACCTAGTTGCTACAACACACAGACTTACGGACCAACTTCCTATTATGGAAACATGAGCATGGACTATCTACCACCACCAATGCATCACACACAGATAAGCATGACCAACATGGCTTCACTGAATCAGATGAATGGCCCAAGCATGACGTCCCCGATGAATCCTGTCGGACTCCAACCTACATCATCTTTGACACCACGAGCGCCCTCTACAAATGGAGGGATCTCACCAAGTGACTGTTTCGAATATGGGACCGACAAATCTGCGCCAACTTGGAAATTTCAAGTACTGTGACGTAGTACGATCAGGATCAGCAAGAATTCTGGCACACCGTCAAATATAGTTATTTAGACATTATACATCATCATCATCATCTGATACCAAACTTACTTTGAAGATATCAGATTTACTATTCATCTCCAGCCATCAGATACCCTTATGATCTGAGGAAGCATAAACAGATGTTTCTTTTTCAACTAACAGATGTCCTAACCGAAAAAAAAATGTAATCAATGATCTACTGGCTCGTTCTTCAACTACTAAATGTCTTGTAAAACTGGAAAAGACAATTTCTAAAAATGACGGACTCTTCTTTCTCCTTTGTACGTCTGGTGATCTGGAAAAAAAAAGTGTTATCTATTCAAATATTTTATTAGTAGTACTTCGTGAATGTTTCCCAGTCTTTTGCTCAATACGAATGTGTCATCAGCATGATAGAAGTAAATACTAAATACTGTTACCAAAACACCAATTCTGGGAACTATACTATTTTTAACAAGAATGCTGAAATTAAAAAGCGTAATTTAAAAAAAAATGAAATGAAACAACTCAGGTGGAAACATAAGACATCAAGTTTATTGGATTTAAAAAAAAATCCTATTCGTTGCTAAAGGGTCGCCTTTTTAATCAGCGTGAGTTCGGAAGCTTTCATATCAAAATATCTAAACTGTTTTCCATTATCAACCTGTGTAGTTTTTATATATATGCTTATGTTCGTGTACTTGTTTATGTGATGATTCCTGGCTTAATTTTAATGAGATGATACGAAGAAAAAACAAACTTCATTAAATGAAATAATCATTTGTGTCAAAATATAAAACATTTGTCGGTTTATTTAGCTCAATCACTTTTACTTTGCACGAGGAAAGATATTGCACTGACGATGCAAGAGGAAAGTGTCATAAATAGTCGTTACTCATACCTTCTCACAAGTGCCAAAAAAAAAGGTGAAGTCTCGTAATACAACATAGAACATCTTAAAGGTTAAGCCTCGTAATACAACATAGAACATCTTAAAGGTTAAGCCTCGTAATACAACATAGAACACCTTAAAGGTTAAGCCACGTAGTACAACATAGAACACTTTAAAGGTTAAGCCTCAAATACAACATAGAACATCTTACTTGGATTAAACATTCAACATTCACGCGAATCTCTTCTTACAAAAATGCTTTCAATACTGATTTCAAGTAAGCAATGACATAATACATTTTCCGTTGCTAGTAAAACATTCAGGAGGTATAAGTGTTGTAAAAATGCCCCTTCTTTTATATAAGCTTAGAATTTTGTGCTTTATTTATAATTTTGAAGGAGAACTGAAATATGTTAGTTTTCTTTAATGTTATCAAAATATGTACATTTTTCATTTTATCGTATATTTTGTGTAAATACAGGGATGTAAAAAATTAAAGGGCGTGTTGAAAGTGTGACTTTACTTCTTCTTTTGAAATTATGTAGAATCATATTGTTATATAAATGGTGTACTGTATTATTATTATTGGTCGACTTGGGTACAACTGTTTAGCACCTTACAATAAATATTATTCACTGTTCAATGCGGCTCTTGAAGATCCTGTTTAGGAATTGTCGAAGTGGGTCCGTAGCGCCACCTCTCGGATGCTCTAACGAAGAATAACTAATTTTGATTTTTCTATCGCTAAACTGTACATGAAAAAAAACAAAAACATTAAAGACCCTTTTCACCAATATTCATAGGACTATAATGTGGAAAATATTAGCTAAATAGGGTGAAAATTGTTGATGAGGATTTTGAAGCTTTAAGTGAAACGCATATTATTTATTAACATTTTTAATCTGTAAGTAGAAACGTATGTTTAATTAGCTATATTGATTGCCATGTTGATTTCTAGTTTCGATCTAAGTACATAGCTTACTCTTCTATGAAGTTAATATTAAAAATGGATTATTTATTCGGTTTTATTTTAGCGACTTTGGAAAGTTCTTTTGAAATCAAGAAATATTTACATAAAATACTTGAACTTGCTATTAAAAAACTAAAGTAAAAAATTATATATATTTAAAATACAATATATTCCTTAAATGCCTATAAAAGCAAAATCTAATTTAAACGTTAACTTCTTATTTGCCTTTAATTTACCTCAACAGGTAGACGTCATTTTCAAACAGTTCAACAACACTGCATGTTGATGATATGAATGTCGCTAAAAACGACAAGTTCGACTTTGTAATGATGGTGTTGATATTTCTTCGTTCTTTACCTGTACGTGTTGTTCATTATATCTTTGTTAACTTCTCAAGGTTATTCTATTTGGCTGGCTCGATCAGTCGATCGGTAGGACTAGAACTATTGTACATACCTGTATATTTTGCCAAACTAACTGTGTACTTATACAGCCGACAGTATAAGAAGTACATTCTTGTATTAAATGTGTCTTTTTGTTGTATAAGATGAACAATTATTCCGATAGACGTGAAAATAAACTGTTTGGATCTGAATGGTGGTAAAATATTTTCCTTTCTTCTATATCAAATGTTTATACCGACTCTGCAGAGCGGTGTATAAATTGATTTTATTACACATCAGAATAAAAATAATGATCGTTTTTTTTATAAATATAAATTTTATAAATTTATATTTTTTATTGAAATATGTTTATTATGAATTAATACCGTGTGTTCAAAATACAATTAACTACATTTTTTTCCTAAAAAACTTTAAGCTAACCCAGAATTCAAAGGTAAGCATCTGAACATTATAAATAAAATTTAAACAGCAACTATTATATTGTAGTAAGTAGAAAAAAATCATATTTCCATACATTAAAAGTTGTATTTTCTTAACATTATTTGCCTTAAAAACCCTCAGTGATCTGAACCATTTGTCGACAGTATTTTTGAACCAGTAAGGTTGGTATTAACTCGAATTCACAAAAAGATAGAGAATAAAAATTAGGACTAATTTCCTACATTCCTCTAAATTAGGCCTGGGTTTTCCACATCATTCAGTTAGAAGCTATTATCTTATGTATTCCAAGTTCCTCTAGAAATTGTTTATCTTTTTTTTAAAAAAAAACTTAATGAGAAAGAACTGCATAACTTTCTATGCGATTTCCTTTTTTTTCTCACAATTCCGATCACACCATTGAGGGTAAACTTTATTTAATTATACTTCAGCCTCCTGGTGGGTCAGTGATAAGTTTGATAGCTTATAACACTAATTATACTTCAGCCTCTTGCCCCCCCCCCCCAGTGGCACAGCGGCATGTCTGCGGACTTACAACGCCAGAAACCGGGTTTCGATATCCGTGATGGGCAGAGTACAGATAGCCCATTGTGTAGTTTTGTGCTTAGCTTCAAACAAACAAACTTCAGCCTCCTGGTGGCTCAGAAATAAGTTTGGCGGCTTAAAACACAAGTAATATTTCAGCATCCTGGTGGGTCGGCGATAAGTTTGAGATCTTATAACACTAGTAATACTTTAGCCTCTTGGTGGCTCAGCGATAAGCTTGAGGGCTTATAACACTAAAAATCGGTTATGAAAAAAGTTTCTAAAATGCAATCAATTACGCTGATAACAATTTGTACCTTAGATAAAAACCGAAAGTTATGTATGATAACATTGATACTGACCATTTTAAATTAGAACATGAACGACATCAAATATAGTTTTCCACCATATTTACATAATGCAGTTCACTACATATAAACACCAACGATCTTTTCAGCTTTACTAAACGTTAGACCTTCGTCGTCATAATCATTCTCATATGCAGTGTTTAAAGCCAAGCTAATATCTTTATAAAAACCAATAAAATATCACTGCCTTGTAAGTCATCAAAACTGGATAGAATTCGGGTTTCTTATGTGGTAGTATGTACACAACTAAACGATTCACTCTTTCAGCACGAGTTTGGTCCCCGGAACCGACTTCGTAACCATTTTGTGCTTGTTATAGTTTTCATGCTGTAACTTTAAATTACTAACCGTATCTTTACGAAATGTTTCATATTATCAGCAAACATTAGAAGGCTTTCGTAAGCAAAATATCACATTTTTTCATTAACTTTTAAGATTTCTTAAGTAATGTTTTTCTCATGCCTTTTTTCTTTTCGAATGTTGACTATCAAACATGCAAAGTAATTTTGATTTTAAGATTAAAAATACTTTAATGCATCAGAAAAATTTCAAGTTTCACATGCGAAATCTTTATAACGCCCAGATAATTATCAAACGTTTTTTAGTAAAAACTTTATATTTTATTTGTTATTTTCACTACTGTATCTCTGTACGGTTGGGGCGATTTGATAGACCTCGTAACCACAATAAAAATTTCAAAAAGGAATATAGGTTATGCTTCTTTCGTTCTAGAATGACTACAGATTATAACATGAAAAAAACAACAAATGTTTAGTCTAAATAGCTTAAATCTCATAACATCATACATCTATATATATATCTATTATTTTTATTACATTGACCTTTCAACAGTGCATGGCTGACATTACAGAAGTTGCAATGACGCGACGCACGTGCATTCATGTAACTGTATCCAAGAGTATAAAACTGGCCTTTACAAAGTGGCCTGTGTTTTAGTGGACCAGTATTCTGTTATAATACATTTATAACTATATACATTATTTATATTTACAAATAAGTTCTTAAACTTATTTTTCTTAAACCAAAGAGTAGTAAATAAAGAAGTATAGCAAACAATTATCTCTTTTAGTTAAGCACTTTGTACTCGTTTGCTGCTTGTCATAGGTTACTAAGCCTTATCAAATTTCGCACGTGGAGGATGTGAAACGAAATAATTTTTTTCAGGTTTTATATATAATTTTGAAATAACCAAAATCATAAATTACCATGTCAATACCACTGAATTACAATATAATTTATCAAGCTTAGTAACTAAGCAGGTATTTGGGTCTAAAAAATATTGTTACGACAGCGGAAGTCACGTGACTCTGGTAGCACGTGATGAGTTTCTCGAATGATCATGAATTTCCTAGTGCGTTCGGAACGTCCCCTTCTTTAGTATATAAGCCTGGCAGATAAAGCCTGCGGAATGATTGATTGAAGAGATATAGATATTGAAGTGATAGATAATTGAGTCAAGTGAACAGTAGGCACC